TTTGCAAAACGAAGCTTCAACCTTTGTAATACATTTTCCTAAAATCCGTGATAATATAAAATCACAATCTCTACCGACACCGATTCTAATCACACCGTTAATTAGGACCATCACGGGTAACTAACATAGTTTTTTTCAGTAATGCATACACTGCATTGCTGCTGTGCAGTGCCAAACTTTAGCGCTGTTGGCCACGGGTAACTAACATAGTTTTTTTTTCTTCATCACGGGTAACTAACATAGTATTTTTTCTTCATCACGGGTAACTAACATAGTTTTTTTTCTTCATCACGGGTAACTAACATAGTTTTTTTTCTTCATCACGGGTAACTAACATAGTTTTTTTTTCAGTAATGCATGTACTGCATTGCTGCTGTGCAGTGCCAAAATTTAGCGCTGTTGTTGGCCACAGTTTCACTGTATGAGCACAAAGCTCGCGTGCACTGCCAACTTGCGTTTAATTGTGAACCTTACAATAAAAATACGTCGGAATAACAGTTAAAATCTTCTATTTGTTCAAAACTAACTTCAATAACGGATAATAATTGAATAAAAAGGTATAATATTTAAAAGGTATAATATAAAAGGTATCTACCATAAAGCTATGTACACTATAAAGCAAACACTAGTTCATTTATAACAGTGAATATATAGAATAACGCAGGAATAACAGTGAAAATATTCTATTTGTTCAAAACTAACTTAAAAATACTGATAATAATTGAATAAAAAGGTATAATATTAAAAAGGTAAAATATAATAGGTATCTACCATAAAGCTACACTAAAGTAAACACTAGTTCATTTATAACAGTGAATATATAGAATAACTCAGGAATAACAGTGAAAATATTCTATTTATTCAAAACTAACTTAAATAACGGGTAATAATTGAATAAAAAGGTATAATATGGCCGCAAAGCTACACTAAAGTAAACACTATTTCATTTATAACAGTAAATATACTGAGTAAAAAAATTAACTCAGGAATAACAGTTAAAATCTTCTATTTATTAATAACTAACTTAAATAACGGATAATAATTGAATAAAAAGGTATAATATGGCCGCAAAGCTACAATAAAGTAAATACTAGTTCATTTATAACAGTGAATATATAGAATAACTCAGGAATAAGAGTGAAATTGTTCTATTTGTTCAAAACTAACTTAAATAACAGATAATAATTGAATAAAAAGGTATAATATTAAAAAGGTATAAGATAAAAGGTATCTACCATAAAGCTACACTAAAGTAAATACTAGTTCATTTATAACAGTGAATATATTGAATAACTCAGGAATAAGAGTGAAATTGTTCTATTTGTTCAAAACTAACTTAAATAACAGATAATAATTGAATAAAAAGGTATAATATGGCCGCAAAGCTACACTAAAGTAAACACTAGTTCATTTATAACAGTGAATATATTGAGTAACTCAGGAATGGCAGTACAAATGTTTTATTTGTTTAAAACTAATAGTTGAATAACGGATAATAATTGAGTAATGAGGTATAATAGCTGCAAAATTACACTAATGTAAACAGTTTGTTTATATATGTATAGTCTGCTTGTATGTGTTCAAAACTAACAATTCATATGTACTTCTGAGCGTGCAAATACCCATTTATTTGAAATCGGTATTAAAAATATAAAAGATGTATTCAATGATTAAAGCAATAATAGAGTTTCGAGATATTTACAAGATATGAAATTTGAGCTTTTGATTTTATTGTGCATCATAACAAAGCAAAGTTTAATTTGAGAGATTAATGCGAGCATTAAAGTTTTATTTAATGTCCTTTTGAAACTAAGCTTATTGGGGGAGGGGAGACTGAAATAGGCTTTCTTTAATTTTTTACTTCATCTCAAATCAATCATGATAAAAATGAGATTATTGTTTGTTTAAATTCAATCACCAATAAAAGAATAAAGTAATAATGAAATCTCAGGGATTAAATGTCCCTAACAGTTGTCTGGATTTTGTGCCAATAAAATCATTATTTAACTGAAGTTGTAATTTCCTGTAGTAATTTTTATAATTTTCCTGTAGTAATTATAAGTAATTTATAACTTATGTAAAAATTAAATTGAAAAATTAGGTACATGGACTAAATATCCTATATACTTGAAGCAGTAATTGTCCTAAATCGAAATTATCCAGTTAATTATGAATAATTTAAAATTTTATGCAAAAATTTAATTGAAAAACTAGGTACATGGAGTAAATATCCTATATACTTGAAGCAGTCAGTAATTGTCCTAAATCGAAATAATCCAGTTAATTAAGAATAATTAGGGCCAAATGCTTTCAATTACACGTTAATTGAAATTAGTGGTTTTTCTGTAACTTGACGCTGGCAGTGACACCGAGTGAAGCTAGTGCCAAGCTAGCGACCAGCCCCTTGTGCTCCCCCTAGTCTAATGTTGCTAGACGGGGGCGACTAGCATTGCTAGGTTAATTTGTATTACTGTGTTAAATAGGTTATAACTTGCTGTATTAATTAGGTTATACCTTGCTGTGTTAAATAGGTTAAGCTTTGCTGTGTTAAATAGATTATACCTTGTTGTGTTATACAGTTTCTCCCTTGCTGTGTTGAATAAGTTATATATACTTTGCTGTGTTACACAATATTATGCTTTTCTGTGTTGGATAGATCATACCGTGTTGTGTTGTACAGTTTCTACCTTGCTGTGTTGAATAGGTTATAAATACTTTGCTGTGTTACACAATATTAAGCTTTTCTGTGTTGGATAGATTATACCTTGTTGTGTTGTACAGTTTCTCCCTTGCTATGTTAAATAGGTTATATAGTTTCTCCCTTGCTGTGTTAAATAGGTTATATATACTTTGCTGTGTTACACAATATTAAGCTTTTCTGTGTTGGATAGATTATACCTTGTTGTGTTGTACAGGTTCTACCTTGCTGTGTTAATTAGGTTATACCTTGCTGTGTTAATTAGGTTATACCTTGCTGTGTTACATAGGTTATACCTATATACTGTGCTGTGTTAAACAGTATATTAAGCTTTGCTATGTGTTGAATAAATTATACTTTGTAGTCTTGTACAGTTGTACAGGTTCTACCTTGATGTGTTAAATAGGTTAAGTTTTGCTGTGTTAAATAGGTTCAGCTTTGCTGTGTTACACAGGTTAAGCTTTGCTGTGTTAAATAGGTTCAGCTTTGCTGTGTTAAATAGGTTAAGCTTTGTTGTGTTATAAAGGTTAAGCTTTGCTGTGTTACACAGGTTAATCAGCATTGCGAGGTTATAGAGCAATGTTCATCGATCCATGAACTTCTAAGTTGACGAAATTCGATCAAGTTAATTAAGAATATTACAGAGCGAGAGGTGCTAGTTCGAACATTACTCTTAATGAGACTTAACTTTTGAATTAAAGAAATTTGCTCAAGTTAATCAAGAATATTACAGTGCAAGAGGTGCTAGGTTCGAACATTACTCTTTATGAGACTTAACTTTTGAATTGAAGAAATTTGCTCAAGTGAATTAAGAATATTACATTGCGAGAGGTGCTAGGTGCACATTACTCTTAATGAGACTTAACTTTTGAATTAAAGAACTTTACTTAATTCTTAAGACTGTGCCCTCACATCCCGGTGCTAGTGAGGCTATGTGAGTGCCTTTTTAATTAAAGAAATTTGCTCAATTCTTAAAAATGTGCCCTCACATCCCAGTGCTAGTGAGGGCATGTGAGTGCTGCCTTACATATGAGGGCCTCATACGTATGTGAGGGTAGCTTGCGTTGTTTACAGCAAAGAAAGGCCATTGTTTACTGAGGGAAACTGAGGCATGGCACAGGAAGATGACTGCGCGAATAGAGTGATTCAATATTAGTAATTATTAAGTGATAATAATAATAAAAAATTGGTAATAGCTACCTTATTAATAGTAATAGCAGTTTGAAATCAAAACTGTAAACTGTAACTTAGATTTTAAAATCAACGTAAAACTTTAATCATTTAAATGTGCGATGGAATGAATCATACTAGATTGATGACTGATAGCGCGATGGAAATGGGCTACGGAGTAAAATTATGAATAACCTTACACAAAATAAAAAAAGATGAGCGAAGTACATTAGAAATATCAACATATTGATTACAAATAGCAATTACAAATAGTAATTACTAATTGTCATTACAAATAGCCATTACAAATAGTCAGTACTAATTGTCATTACAAATAGCCATTACAAATAGTCATTAGTAATTGTCATCACAAATAGCCATTACAAATAGCCATTACAAATAGTAATTACTAATTGTCATAACAAATAGTCATTACAAATAGCCATTACAAATAGCCATTACAAATAGTCAGTACTAATTGTCATTACAAATAGCCATTTCAAATAGTCATTAAAAATTGTCATTACAAATAGCCTTTACAAATAGCCATCACCAATAGCCATTACAAGTACCTATGGAAGTTTCTAGTTCGTTCAACTATGCCGTATATGACATAAAAGTAACTTCATATGTAAATTACGCAGTTATTTATGTGCATACATTTTAGATTCAGTTATTTTGTGCATTTTAATAGTTACAAAATAGTTAAAAATCAATCAATAAAAACACTAATAAAAATGCTCAAAATGACTTGCAAAATGTGAATGTAAATGTTAAATAATACACGACGGAAAACGAATAAAAAAATATTTTCCAAACATCAAGGGAGATAAAGAGCATTAAATATGAGAAATTGTGTATAAAAAGTTTTTAAATGCAAATTGTATAGAATATCCATGCACAATTTAAATAAGACAAAATTACATTAAAATAATTACATTAAATTACATTCATTAATTCATTTAAGGGCAAAAGTATATTAAAAAAATAAATTAAAATGTATTAAACGCGCGACGCAACAGCCGGTTATTTCTGCCAGTGTGTCACTTACGGAAACTGAAACGTGTATAAAAAAATAAAAATTTAAATAATTTTCAAATCTTCGTACCACACGAAATTAGAAAAAACTTACCTTAACGCTGTGGTAATTTTGCGTATATAATTTCGTTTGGTAAATTCGTATAGGATTCTGCTTCAGATAATAAATAAGATATCGTTAGCGCAAGCGTCCCAAAATTGAATACGGTATCAACTAACGCTCAAATTTCTAGTTAAAGTGTCGTATATACGAAAGTCTTATTAAAAAGTTATAAATATTTTAAAGAATTTGCATATATTAACTGCAGCTTTCAAAATAAATGTTTTAAATAAATAAATTGTTCAGAAAATGAAGCGAGAAGCACCGCTACTGCACAGCTTCACAGACGAGGCGAGACTGCAACTAAATGGCAACCTGCCACGTACTGCACCACTACTGCACCACTACTGCACCACTACTGCACCACTACTGCACCACTACTGCACCGCTACTGCACCGCTACTGTATGGCAACCTGCCACGAACTGCACCACTACTGCACCACTACTGCACCGCTACTGCTCCGCTACTGCACCACTACTGCACCGCTACTGCTCCGCTACTGCACCGCTACTGCACCACTACTGCACCGCTACTGCACCACTATCCTATAAAATTTTAAGAAATATTGGGTTTTAATTTTATCAAATTTTTGTCTTAACTGAAACAAACCTTATGTTGGTAAACTCAAAAACTGACTAAAACTATCATGTTCACATTAGTGCATCCTTCTTCTTTATAATTGGAATTTTTAAATTTTGCTCCCATTTATTTTGATTTTTCTTTATGGAGTAGCTTATGCACATTTCTTTGATTTTATTATTTCTTAATACAAAATATCCAAATTACATGCATGAATTGTGTCATTTAACTTGAACTATATTTTAGTAGATACTTCTGACGCCCAAACATTGCTGTTCAAACAATCAATTGCTACCATCAATGGAAATACATACTGTTTTGAATTTCCAATTTCAAAAAGCCAAATTCTAATTTTTTCAAATTTCAACTTAAAAATAGCCAACTAAATAGGGAATCGAAATGATTTTTATTACTGAGCCTGTCAAGATGGCACATTTGATTACATAGTACCATTTTAAACAACTGTTAACAGAGTGTCACTGTAAACAACGGCTAACAGAGTGTCACTGTAAACAACTGCTAACAGAATGTCACTGTAAATAACTGTTAAAAGAGTGCCACTGCAAACAACTGCTAACAGAGTGCCACTGCAAACAACTGCCAGCAGAGTGTCGCTGTAAACAACGGTTAACAGAGTGTCACTGTAAACAACGGCTAACAGAGTGCCACTGTAAACAACTGCTAACAGAGTGTCACTGTAAACAACTGCTAACAAAGTGTCACTGTAAACAACTGCTAATCCGCTACTGCACCGCCACTGCACCATCACTGCACCATCACTACACCAGTGCGTGGTGCAATTTGACCCATACATTCTTTTGAGTGATGAAGAGACTCACGCACAAGTAAATGCTAATAAAGTCACCTATTTCAGCTAATTAGATATTGAAAAATTAGTCATAACATATATAAAAAAATTTAAGGATATTCCACGTCAACCGAAAAATCTTCCTTGAATTTGAATTGCTTTTTTTTCTAAACCTGTATTTCTGAGGTTATTAAAAGGAGAAAAATTCTGGGCATCATTCAAACTTAATTATTAAATAATTGAATTTTCTATCTGAACTTTGAGAAAAATCAACGTTTGAACGTTTATTTAAAGAGTGGATTCAGTAATACCCGTAATTTCAGTCGTCAACCAAGCACTGCCAATTTCAGTCGTCAACCAAGCTCTGCCAATTTCAGTCGTCAACCAAGCACTGCTAATTTCAGTCGTCAACCAAGCACTGCTAATTTCAGTCGTCAACCAAGCACTGCTAATTTCAGTCGTCAACCAAGCACTGCTAATTTCAGTCGTCAACCAAGCACTGCTAATTTCAGTCGTCAACCAAGCACTGCTAATTTCAGTCGTCAACCAAGCACTGCTAATTTCAGTCGTCAACCAAGCACTGCTAATTTCAGTCGTCAACCAAGCACTGCTAATTTCAGTCGTCAACCAAGCACTGCTAATTTCAGTCGTCAACCAAGCACTGCTAATTTCAGTCGTCAACCAAGCACTGCTAATTTCAGTCGTCAACCAAGCACTGCTAATTTCAGTCGTCAACCAAGCACTGCTAATTTCAGTCGTCAACCAAGCACTGCTAATTTCAGTCGTCAACCAAGCACTGCTAATTTCAGTCGTCAACCAAGCACTGCTAATTTCAGTCGTCAACCAAGCACTGCTAATTTCAGTCGTCAACCAAGCACTGCTAATTTCAGTCGTCAACCAAGCACTGCTAATTTCAGTCGTCAACCAAGCACTGCTAATTTCAGTCGTCAACCAAGCACTGCTAATTTCAGTCGTCAACCAAGCACTGCTAATTTCAGTCGTCAACCAAGCACTGCTAATTTCAGTCGTCAACCAAGCACTGCTAATTTCAGTCGTCAACCAAGCACTGCTAATTTCAGTCGTCAACCAAGCACTGCTAATTTCAGTCGTCAACCAAATACNCCTGTCTCTTATACACATCTAGATGTGTATAAGAGACTTGTAATAGGGTATAGTTATACTGAGCGGTATACGTGGACAATGACCTGAGGCGACCGGTGCGATCCTGTCGTCCACGAGGAACTGAAGGCTAAGATAAAAGATAACTTTTATCACATGTGTACGATAAATGCTCGTTGCCGTGCGTTATATTTCTTTTCTGCGTGCGTTTTACTTATTTTTAGACACCTGTTTATAATTCTCCATTGTAGGAGACAGCACAAGCAACATTATTGTGGAATATGATATACTATTTAAGTATCCTTAGTATTTGTTTGGGACATAGCACTAGGTAGTTAAAATATTGTCCAAAGTTACGAAGAATTTGATTAAATTGTAAATATGAAATATTTACTGCAGATTAACACGTGGGTTTCTGCTTTATTTATGTTAATGTTCAATTTTAGTGGCATTATTCTTGCCTGTTGTTGGTAAAGGTTCGGCAATCTCCCCGCACCTTCGTACGCATGCGCAGCTAATACGGACAAAATAGAACGCATGAAATTGTTTACCTGAGGTACCTATATTCAAAATGTTGAAAGACGTACGTAATTTTTATAGATGTATATTTTATTTGGTGACTCATAATAGTTTAATCGTTTAATTTGAGGAGACTTATGTGTCTGGTGAAGATATTTGCATGTAATTTGAAGAGATGTGTGCTAGCTATACGAAACAATTATATGCAATTTATCAAGATGCATGAAACTTGTGTGTATGGATGATGAGAATGTATTGATGATGAAAAGATGTATTTGCAATTTGATTCTTCATTGAACAAATTACAAAACGACGTATCATTGCTACCTCTGCTCTCTGCTTGCGCTGTGGGTGAGAAAGCGTGTCAAATTTGAACTGATTGTCAAAAAAAGCGTGTCAAATTTGAACTGATTATGGTGTCATGGAACCCAGCGCTTGTGGTGGACGGTAGCCCAAGCTGGTCAAGTAATTTTTTTCCTCAGCTTTTTGTCTTAAGGAACGATGTGTCATTTTTCTTCATCACGAAAACCTACGAGAAGTGATTTAATTCCAATTTTGAGACCTTTTTATTCGCTCTTTGCAATTTTTATTTAATAATTTTTGCTAAATGCATTAAAAAGGGATAAATTATTGATACATAGATGAATTTTAACCGAATTAACACATTGTAATTGAATTGTCCAGATAAATTAGTCGTTGGTTGAACGCAGTAGCCAGGATAATGGCCTCGGGCTCGCACCTGCGCAGTAACTTTAGAGTTAGTGGGCAACTTGCGCCCGTGGTGACAAGACGTGTGGTGTTTACGTTAAATTTTCTCATTACTTCTTTCAATTATGGAGTATTCCTAAGAAATATTTTATAATCTGAAGTAATATTTTGTACAATTTTGATGCTGAAAAACAGGTTTCCATAATTTGAAAGTGTTTAGCATAGAACTATAATGGATTGTAATAGGGTATAGTTATACTGAGCGGTATACGTGGACAATGACCTGAGGCGACCGGTGCGATCCTGTCGTCCACGAGGAACTGAAGGCTAAGATAAAAGATAACTTTTATCACATGTGTACGATAAATGCTCGTTGCCGTGCGTTATATTTATTTTCTACGTGTGCGTTTTACTAGTTTTTAGACACCTGCTTATAATTTTCCATTGTAGGAGAGTTAGGAGACAGCACAAGTAACATTATTGTGAAATATGATATTTATTTTACGTAGCTACAGTTGTCAAAATATTGTCAAACGTTTGGCAACAGTAAATAGTAAATAAAAAGTTTGGCAACAGTAAATATGAAATATTTACTGTAGATTTACACCTGTGTTTCTGCTTTATTTATTTTAATGTTCAATTTTAGTGGCGTAATTCGTACTGTTGTTGGTAAAGATTCGGCTATCTCCCCATACGGTCGTACGCATGCGCAGTTAATACGGGTGAAAATGGAACCCATGAAAATGTTTACCTGAGACATTGAAAACGTTAAAGGACGTACTTTATTTGTATAAATTGTATATTTAATATGGTAACTAATGCGTTTAATTTGAGGAGACGTTTGTGTATAGTAAAGATATGTGCAATTGTGCATGTTCTATAAAAATTGTACGTAATTTGTTAAGATGTATGAAACTTGTGTGTCTAATTCGAGTACAAATGTATGGACGAAGAGAAGATTTATAAGCAGTTTGATTTTGCATCAAACAAACTTAAAAACGACGTGTCATTGCTACGTCCGCTCTCTGCTCGAGATGTGAACAAGAAAGTGTGACAATATTTGAACAATACGATCCATTCATTTTGACAGTGAATTTTCAGAATTGGCCTTGAGTATACCGAACCTATAGAGTGCAGTGGAGGCCTATATTGACATAGGCTGACTAACATTTACTAGTAATGATTTAAAAATGGCTTACTTATAGGACTTAATGGCTGGTGTCGAAGAAATTATTTGGGTTGGTGGTGGAGTGTGGTGGTGGTGGAGTGTGGTGGTGGTGAGGTGTGGTGGTGGTGGAGTGTGGTGGTGGTGGAGTGTGACTGTTGGTGGAGTGTGGTGGTGGTGAGTAGGATGGTTGTGTGGTGGTGGTGATGGTTGATAGTGAATACAATGAAGGGAGCGGAGGCATTTCCTGTGTACTTACACGAGCCTGAGTGAGCCTTCTAGACGACTTATCGCGTTAAAACATGCAATGCATAACTGAATAAGCGCGCTAATACATAAAATTATATTTCTATACAGCACCCATACTTCTCAGCTCTATATATGACCTGACTTGTATTCTTAACCTGTTCATATATAACCGTTGCTTAACCTGTTCATATCTAACAGTTGCTTAACCTGTTCATATCTAACCGTTGCTTAACCTGTTCATATCTAACAGTTGNTTATATATTTAGTAATTCAACTAATGGTTGATGTTTAGTGTCTTAATGTATAATAATTTGACTATTCTAATTTCACTATTGATCTATTATTGCAACACATATTATTTGCAATATTTTAATTATAACTTTTGAAGATGTAATTACAATACCTTTTCTGATTACGTTAGAAGGTAATCATATCTCTGCTTTATAGTTCTTCTTCATTAATTATTGTTAATTTTCCGGGGATAAGTTAGTCATTATTTCTTCAAAACTTTTAATTACCTTCCACGCTAAACTGAGCGAAGGTAACAAATTGATAATTTATGTCTCCACGTAACTTTAATTTTTTTGTGTATAACTAACTTACAACAATAATTTAAATTGGAAACTTAAGAATGTGACATATGCTTGAGAATGTTCTACAATTGTATGATGGTGAACATGTATATACTCCGTGCACATACTCCACACAAATACTCCATACACTTATACTACATACACTTATACTCCACACACTTATACTCCATACACCTACTCCATACACATACTCCACACACCTATACTCCATACACCTACTCCATACACATATACTCCATACACTTATACTTCATACACATGTACTCCACACACTTATACTCCACACACTTATACTCCATACACTTATACTCCACACACATATACCTGTCTCTTATACACATCTAGTGAAGGTTTCTTTACAATTGATTACTTTGAGGAGAGAGAGATCTGTGAAGAAGCCGTATCATGGATACCAGTGATGATATCATGGATACCGGTTCCAAAATGTCGGAAAATGAACCTCCGCACCAGGAATCCGGTCATCAAAAGGTTAGTATTATTGATCATATTGTAATATATCATTGTAATATATATAATTATTATAAGATATATGATAATATATTATTTTAATATATAAAATAATATAATAATATTATGAACGGTTTACGTTTAAATTTAATTTAGGGCTCTGTGTATTTTTTGTCAAAATTTGGACATTTCTACTTAAGATTAAATTTAGAAATAAACGTAACAAATGACGAACGGTTTTAGGTTTAAAGTAAATGTTTTTAAGAATAATTTGAATATTTCGAAGATTAAAATACCATTTTATCGGGATAGTTAATTGTGAACATGTATCCTATTAAAGAGCGAGTTTTTTCTTTCATATTTTTTATTGTTGTTTATTTTTTCATGTTAAGCTATCTATAGCGATTATATTATAAAATTTACGAATACGGTAAGAACTTTCGTTTAAGACTTATACGCCGGTGCTCTGGTCACACCATTGAAGATTCCAATTCTTTTTAAAATGATTTTAAAATGAAGAAAAATACTACATCCGTGCAAAAAGTTCAATATTTTTATATGGTTATTATATGTAACATATTAATCTTAATACCTATTAATTTTTTGGGAATAGTGAGTTATATGGTAATTTCATTTAATGTACCGTATTAATAAAGATATCCGCTATATATGTAGGTTAAATTATATAGTAATTGTATCTAATATATCAACCAAAATATCCGTTATACATGTATATATTCTCAATTAATCAAATTTTCTAATTGTGTCCGTCCAGCGGCGAGGACTCACGCTGGACAGTCTGGACAGACTCAGTCCCTCCCTAGTGACGCTAGAGTCACTAGTGTCACAGTGGCCTCCCAACACCTACGACTCAGGGTACGGTCCTAGTCCTTTGTCCAACGAGGTTAGATTCTCCTACTCCCGAGAGGACTGTGAAGGAACCTCGGACGAGGATTCTTCCAACGAAACACGTCGGCATGACGTGATTGACGAAGGAAATTTAGGTAGTTCGGGTGAAAGGGATTCTTCAACACCAAAAGCCGGTTCCTTAATTGGAAATATTCGCGAGAAACTTTTCCGAGCGAATACTCCACCCATCAAGATCCCGGTACCCAAATCCCCGTTTGCCGGTTCTCAGGCAACTGGTATCACTAATTATTATCCAGAAACTATCAGTCAGGCAGAGTTATGGCAGAACGTAAACGTTTTACCTGAAGATGATACGAAATCCCCGACATTTTCGCGTGCGTTTTACCGTTCCCGCACATTCTCATGCCCGGAATCTTCTCGTCCGACACCGCGTCGACCTCCAATTCCAGTTTTTCCATCAATCCAGTCACCTGTCACACCAGAATCCTTTGACCGACAATATTTATTTCACCGACCTCTGCCAGCAGCACCAGACGGTCTACCGAAAGCCTATACAGACCCTAGCCCCGGTAAAGTTCAATCTCTTGTCCCTGATGAAATTGAGAGAAATCGACCTCAGTGTCAACTGGACGATGGAAATGAAAATTTTTCATGGCGCCAGGAGAAATTTCGAGCGATGGCAACTATGGATTCAACTCGCAGGCCACATGACAGAATTCATCATCACTTGAATCTCGGCAGTGAGTATACCTTTAGTTTTAACTGTGTCGTAGAGATTTTTCTGTGCGTGTAATATGCGAATTATTAATAATGCAATATCGGTTGTATATAATCCAAGAACGAGCAAACAACAAGTGACTTCAGATTTTTAATTTTCAATTCTTGTATAGTCGCTCTTATTTCATTTACTTTCTTGGTTCTGATGTAATAAAACTAATAATACAAAAATGCTTTCAAATTGCACGAAATTATTGCAAAATTATATTGAAAGTCAAAAATTCTATTAGCTGTGAATATTTTTAATAATATCTGCACATGAGCTTCATCTACCTTATATATTAATCCACTAATATTTAGAAGCGAAATTATCTACCACAAAAATTGTACTTGAGACATATGGAAAAAGAGTTCATTTACCAAAGACACTAGACCATAAATTTCTGAAAACAACACATCTACCAAAAACCTCTATAAATACCATTTATCTTCTATGAAGCAGTGGTATGCTTCAAATAGATAGAAAAAACAACGTTATTTCGCTAATAAGCTTCACGTATAATATGTATACGTGTATTATGTATTAATAATTAATATGTATTAACGTCCTTCCACATATAATTGACAGCCCAAACCCCGTCAGCCGTAATATGTATACGTGTATTATGTAATATTTATTAATAATTAATATGTATTAACGTCTGTCCATATAATTGACAGCCCAAACCCCGTGAGCCGTAATATGTATACGTGTATTATGTAATATTTATTAATAATTAATATGTATTAACGTCCTTCCATATATTATTGACAGCCCAAACCCCGTCATGGCAACCAACCCTTGTTGACACCTCCTGTCAACATCAGACCTGCCGGGTCCAAAGATGCCATTGTTGACCTGTCCGATGATGGACCGGGTGAGATGACGCACCTTCTGATGATTATCATTACATTGTATATTTATTGGGAATTCAAGTTTTTAAACCTAATTAGGACTATGGTTCTTGAATTATATGCTTTGAGTACTTGGTATGTGTACTGTATGACTTAAATGATATGTCTTGAATACTTTAGATGTGTACTGTAATGCTTGAATGATATGCCTTGAATACTTTAGATGTGTACTGTAATGTTTGAATAATATGCCTTGAATACTTTAGATGTGTACTGTATGGCTTGAATGATATGCCTTGAATACTTGAGATGACGTTTACTGTGTGACTTGAATGATACGCCTTGAATACTTTAGATGTGTACTGTAATGTTTGAATAATATGCCTTTAATACTTTAGATGTGTACTGTAATGTTTGAATGATATGTCCTGTCAACATCAGACCTGCCGGGTCCAAAGATGCCATTGTTGACCTGTCCGATGATGGACCGGGTGAGATCGCGTGCATTATGATCATTATCATTACATTTTAATATTTATTGGGAATTGAAGTTTCTAAACCTAATTAGGACTATGATTCTTGAATGATATGCCTTGAATACTTAGCATGACGTGTATTGTAATGCTTGAATGATATGTCTTGAATACTTTAGATGTGTACTGTAATGCGTGAATGTTTTGCCTTTAATACTCGAATACTGACCATACTGATCGCGAAAGGCTGGTTTTAACATTTTATTTACGTTAAAATGCTTGGAAACAAAATGTATCTATATAGCTTTGTTACATCCAGTAACGGGTTATGCCTAACATTATTTATGTTTATCATTACTCAAGATACACTGACTTTTATTTAAAAAAAAAAAACAGGTCATCGTCGGCGGGTCTTGGTTCTCTCACTGCCAGACGTCGTGATCGAGAGCTCCCCAAGCTATCGTACCAGAGTACAGGGAGACGCTGCCGAACCTGGAGCTATGGCGCACAGCCGGCAGGTCAGTGTGATATTTTTGCATTTTTGCGCCTGTTCATATCATTACTTCAGATTTTAATTTATATAATTAAATTACACACTTTGACACTATACCCACATATGAGTGAGAAAACACCAGTTCTCAATGCTTACTCAGCAAGGTGGCAAGGTTGTTAAAGTTCAGAGTAACAAATTGAAGCATTGAGTCGCGTGTTCGAAACCCGCAATAAGCTATAAAAATTCTTCGATGTTCAGAATCCGCGACATGCCTAAGGGCCTAATCTTGTACGCTTACACCACTATTCTATTCTGCTTGGTAACCAGAGTTACTTCCATGTGCTGTACATACGAAGTACGCTATCGTGCGAGAAAATTAGTATCGAGCTTAACGTACGAATTCCCTACTGTACGTATAAACCTATTTAATAATTGTTTAATAATAAATTGCTATGATAATATTTCTTACAAACCATTTGCATTAGACTCACGCGGACACCAACCTTTCCTGATTTCCTTCAGGAAGAACTGTTATCTCTGGCAATTGATATTCAATTATTCATAAAATTGTATTTTTAATTAGGAATATTTATTTATTATTGGCGCCCATGTACTGCAATTATGTGGCAATAATCCAGTTCATTCTTCAGTCCCGTCATTGTTGCTTGACGTGGAGTTAACTTCTGTGTTTCAGTTTCACGTTGAATCTTTGCCCATACCGAGAGTTTATTGTTTAATACTGAAACTTAACAGAAGACTTTCATTCATCAATAGTTTTTTCCCTTTTGACGCTCTCTCTTTATCAGCTGTTACGGACCAACGTTTCCGTAACGGCTCTTCGTTACTTCATCAGCGGACCAACGTTTCGTTATACCCAAACAAAATTTGGGTAACTCCTAGTCTTCTGACCAGGGGTCGCTACACTCGGCTGAAAGTTATTCTGGGTCAGCTTAGCCACCCCATCGAAATCAGCTTCTGATTAGAATCTCCTTTCCGACTTCGTACTGTCCTGAAAGGGTGAAAAATGTATCCTGAGAGTGCGAAAAGTGTGTCCTGAAAGTGTGAAAAGTGTGTCCTGAGAGTGCGAAAAGTGTGTCTTGAGAGTGTGAAAAGTATGTCCTGAGAGTGTGAAAAGTGTGTCCTGAAAGTGTGAAAAGTGTGTCGTGAACATGTGAAAAGTGTGTCTTGAACGTGTGAAAAATGTATCCTGAGAGTGGAAAAAGTGTGTCCTGAGAGTATGGCAAGTGTGTCCTGAGAGTTTGCAAAGTGTGTCCGGTAAGTGTGAAAAGTGTGTCCTGAAAGTGTGAAAAGTGTGTCGTGAACATGTGAAAAGTGTGTCTTGAACGTGTGAAAAGTGTGTCCTGAAAGTGTGAAAAGTGTGTCCTGAAAGTGTGAAAAGTGTGTCCTGAAAGTGTGAAAAGTGTGTCCTGAAAGTGTGAAAAGTGTGTCCTGGCAGTGTTAAAAGTGTATCCTGAAAGTGTGAAAAATGTGTCCTGGCAGTGTTAAAAGTGTATCCTGAGAGTGTGACAAGAGGTGGCCGAGCCGAGTTAAATCGAACAAGCAACCTGCTTATAGTGGCCGCCATTAAATCGCGGTCGAAACGGACATGAGCGGCTGATTTACGTGCACCCCGAGTCCTGGGCGGCACCTGATGCGGAGTTGGGCCCACATTCCAATTTTGTTAGGGTACGACTCATTTTGTACCGCGAACAAAATACAATTACATAATAATAAAATTGCGATTTCCTTTTAAAATTGTGATTTATTATCTGGATAAATATTCGGACATGAGCGGCTGATTTACGTGCACCCCGAGTCCTGGGCGGCACCTGATGCGGAGTTGGGCCCACATTCCAATTTTGTTAGAGTACGACTCATTTTGTACCGCGAACAAAATCCAATTACATAATAATAAAATTGCGATTTCCTTTTAAAATTGTGATTTATTATCTGGATAAATATTTTCGTCATTTCCAGGGTTCCAGCTGCTCCCGGGACACACTGGGCCCGCTGGAGGGCGAGGCCTCACCCGTGATGCTAAGGGGCCCGGGCCGCTCTACGGGCCGGCCACGGGCGCTGTCGTGTGACGTCACTCTGGAGGAGACCGTGGGCCGGGCCCTGCGCCACATGGCGGACCATATGGAACGTGACAAACAAAAGGTGGGGGTTAGGGGTGCCTTGTGTCACATAGCGGCCATATGGAACGTGACAAACAAAAGGTGGGGGTTAGGGGTGCCCAGTGTCACATGGCGGACCATATGGAGCGGGACAAACAAAAGGTGGGGGTTAGGGGTGCCATGGGTCACATGGCGTACCATATGGAACGGGACAAACAAAAGGTGGGGTTAGGGGTGCCCTGTGCCACATGGCGGACCATATGGAACGTGATAAACAAAAGGTGGGGTTAGGGGTGCCCTGTGCCACANTTCAGCGCCCTTCACGCTGCGTTTGGTTGAAAAGGAGGTGAATGGTTCATGCATGTATTCATTTGAGGGCGGTGATGAATGTCTGGATGACGCTGAATATTTCCTTTGAAATATTCACGTCTTTGAATGAATTTTAGTTGAAATTTCCAATTTGGAAATTACTCAACCAAGACTGAAATTACAAAAAACGTGGCAAAATTGTCAAAACCACGTGGTTAAAAACTTGGAATTGATTGTGCATTGGTAATTAGTGTATTGCTGATTAGTGGATTGGTAATTAATGGATTGATGATTAGTGTATTGATGATTAGTGGATTGGTGATTAGTGTATTGATAATTAGTGGATTGGTAATTAGTGGATTGGTGATTAATGGATTGGTGATTAGTGGATTGGTAATTAGTGGATTGGCGATTAATGGATTGATGATTAGTGTATTGATGATTACCGATTAAACTTATTTGAGTGTTCAGTGTTCTTCTTCGTTGCTGTTGTGTTCTTGTTTCTGTTGCTGCTTTGAATTTAATTGCCTTTTTGAATTTCCAATTTTTTAATTTCACAATCCATAACAATTCTGTTGCTTGTTTTGGTGCAGAGTTGTCTTGTATTTTTATTTTTTAATCAGGTTGATTAATGAGCTTATATCGAATTTATACTTCTAAAAATCTTTAGAATTTTTTAAAGGCACAAGAAAGATTTATATACCTCATAAATCTTGGAAAATCAATACATTTTTATGTTTTCCAGACGCATTCGTTAACTAAAATTTTCCAAATGCGTTATGAAAAATTTAAGTTTTGAAAAGATATATTGCTTTCATGTTGACGGTTACGTATATAGTATAAAACCTTGACTTGAATACACTTTTGGAATATATAAATTCCATTGAAAAGGATATGTGCAACATGGATTAGATTCAAATTGTTCAAGGGTAAATTAAGGATATGAAAAAATCCATATAGGATGTATGGAATAGCTTGCTATGGATTTGGAATCCATCTATTTCATAAACATTTGTCTTTCAACATTTAACTGTAAAAATAAATTAATACATAATTAAGATATAATCCTTATTTCTTACTATTTTATTTAGTCGGTAACTTTAGTAGTTAGTCTGTTAGAATATCTACTTCGGGATATATTGGTTTATATATTTAGTAATTCAACTAATGGTTGATGTTTAGTGTCTTAATGTATAATAATTTGACTATTCTAATTTCACTATTGATCTATTATTGCAACACATATTATTTGCAATATTTTAATTATAACTTTTGAAGATTTAATTACAATACCTTTTCTGATTACGTTGGAAGGTAATCATATCTCTGCTTTATAGTTCTTCTTCATTAATTATTGTTAATTTTCCGGGGATAAGTTAGTCATTATTTCCTCAAAACTTTTAATTACTTTCCACGCTAAACTGAGCGGAAACAACAAATTGATCATTTATGTCTCCACGAAACTGTTATTTTTTGTGTATAACTAACTTTATTGGAACAAATTGATCGTTTTATGTCTCCACTAAACTGTTTTTTTGTGTATAACTAACTTTATTGGAAATTTATTCATTATACTTTGAAGGGTATCGCAATAGCATGATAATATAAAACGATAAAATGTGCCCGGAAATTTACAACAATAATTTAAACAGAAAACTTAAGAATGTGACATATGCTTGAGAATGTTCTACAATAATATGATGATGAACATGTATATACTCCGTGCACATACTCCACACACATACTCCATACACTTATACTCCATACACGTACTCCATACACTTATACTCCACACACTTATACTCCACACACTTATACTCCACACACTTATACTCCACACACTTCTACTCCACACATACTCCACACACTTATACTCCACACACTTCTACTCCACACATACTCCACACACTTATACTCCACACACTTATACTCCACACACTTCTACTCCACACATACTCCACACACTTATACTCCACACACTTCTACTCCACACATACTCCACACACTTATACTCCACACACTTATACTCCACACATACTCCACACACTTATACTCCACACACTTATACTCCACACATACTCCACACATGCAAAGGTTTCCGTGCTGCCGCTCACTCTGATCTCAGTAATGAATTAAGTGAATTATTGTACAGATGAATAGTAATTGATACGATTTTTTATGATAGAATAAAAGGTTTAAATTAGTACAGTTAATGGCTTATATTTGTACACTTTGTCTAAGGTTTTTCTTTGTCTATGGTTTTTGTCTAAGGTTTATATAAGTTCTAGCATTGCTCAGTAAGACAATCACGGCAGATCTCAGTTGAATAAAGGCTTTATACTTATAATATTTGTATGTTTAATAAAAAAATATTATAATGTTAATGAGCTGACTGCATTCCATGTGTCATACAGCTGCTGTGTATGATTCATGTATCATACGACTGTGTTATGTATTAATTATTCAGTTAAGTCTTCGAACTCGTTGGTATAAGCATTGTGCGCTTACAAAATTTTTCATACTTAGACTCATTTTGAGTTCAAATTTCTTATCAAAAAACATTTTTTCCGTCTTAACTACCCAAATCTCCTGTTAACCACACAATGGTGTATATTTTGCACTGAAATTCAGCGGACGTACGTGCATGAAACTGAACTATTCATTTGGTTTCATGTATTTTTTATTAAATGTTGGTGAGTTGCACACTGTTAAATAAATGTTAAATTAATTTAAAATTAAATGTTAGTCAGTTAACACATTTCTTGTGTTGAATTCGTTGAATATAAAGCCGTGTTTTTGTGTTGAATCCATGGAAGAGAAAGCTGTTTCAACTCCAAATCATTTTAGGCTACGTTCTATATACCAACTTTTCGTTTATTTTTTCTTCTGTCTTTTAAAATGACATTTTTTACAAATTTTATAATCTGCCTTTTGTTCCGACGCGGCGAGGTTTTCTACACAAATTAATTAAAACTTTGTTATGAAAAATTTGAAATTTGAATCATTTTAACGTTTTGATAATTTATTTATTGATTTCAACGTTTTGATAATTTTTCAAATTTTCGCATTGGTTTTTGTGTTCACTTTTAACGACTTAATAAATGCTTCTGGAGAAAGTGTGCAGTAATAAAGTTTAAATAAAACATGCCGCATTAATAAACATTTGAAATATTCGCTTCTCGGAGCAACTAAAAATGTATTCACATGCATAATCATTTAATTTAAGATCAAAATAATTGAAATTACTTAATAAATAACCTTATATATATTTTAGTACTTAATGAACCACATCTTTGGTTGGCCACTGAAAAAAGACAAGTGATTGTGAGTTGCGTGTTATGCTTACGAACTCTATAGTGATAAATGGTAGTTCTATTGTTTCCATATTTACAAGGTCTTTCGTATTGTAAGTGATAAATTGTAGTTCTATTGTTTTCATATTTACAAGGTCTTTCGAATTGTTAGTGATAAATAGTAGTTCTACTGTTTCCATATTTACAAGGGCTTTCGTATTGTAAGTGATAAATGGTAGTTCTATCATTTCAGAATTCACTATATTGTAGTTTCAGTGTTTAGTTCTTAAGTGTACTGTAGTTTCATCATTTCATTATTCAGTTTATGGCAGTTCTATCGTTTCATTATTCAGTATACTGTAGTTCCATTGTTTCAATATTCAGTATTTTGTAGTTAGATTGTTTCATTATTCAGTATACTGTAGTTCCATTGTTTCATTATTCAGTATACTGTAGTTCCATTGTTTCATTATTCAGTATATAGTAGTTCCATTGTTTACTTCTCGTTCTTTCTTGTATTGGCATAATAAACGTTCAAGAAAATTGTGTATCTCATTCACCGGAATAATTTCTACTTGCAGTTATCTTTGAATTTCAAACAAATTTTATTTCCTTTGCTTTCACTAAACTTGAATTTTTCGGTGCACTAGAAAGATCTTCAAATTAACACTTTCTTGATTTGCTTTTTAGAACGTGTAAATTTTAGATTCAAGTAAAACCTTATATTTGTACGTTTTTAATCTTTTTTACACTTGAAAATTCAAATTAATATCAAAGTTTGCGGGAATTTGGTCATGAGATTCAGGAACAAGGAAGGCNGCGGCAGTTTGGTCATGAGATTCAGGAACAAGGAAGGCGAGGAATTTTCAACCTTCTTTTCAGATCGAGGATTATTGTAGGCATATAAAATTCAAGATAAAATTCAAGATAAATTTTAAGATAAAATTCGAAATAAAATTCAAAATAAAATTCAAGATAAAATTCGAAATAAAACTCAAGATAAAATTCAAGATAAAATTTAAGATAAAATTCGAGATAAAATTCAAAATAAAATTCAAGATAAAATTCAAGATAAAATTTATGATAAAACTCGAGATTAAATTCAAGATAAAATCCAAGATAAAAATCGAGATAAAATTCAAGATAAAACCCAAGATAAAATTCAGGATACAATTTAAGATAAATATCAAGATAAAATTCAAAATAAAATTTAAGATAAAATTCAAGATAAAATGCAAGATAAAATTCACGAACTATTTTTTTAAGGAGAATCTATTGAACTTTTAATATGAAGAAGCAAGAGAACTAAGCAAAAACAATCAGCAATGGATATTTTCAAATAATATGAATTTTTTTAAAACATCAAAAGGTGATAGAGATTTTTTTAAGGTGGGTGCAAATGTTTTTTGGGCAATTGAAATACGAAAATTTCTCAGGA